ACCCCCTCCCTTTTATTACGAAATCTGGAGTACACACAAGTAACAGGAATCCCCATATCTTTCCATATTTTCCTCCTGACCCACGGCCAACCCCAGGACCAGCTCCTCGTCCTGAGCTGGCTCTTGGCGCCCCCCGGCGTGGAGGGCCCCTGCCCCGAGACGGCCAGAAGCCTCCAGGGACCGGCGCCTTCAGGACCCCCCCCCCTGCGCCGTGGCGGCGGACATGTCGGAACCGATCGGGGATCTATCAAGGGGCCCAGGGACACACAAATCAATACACACAAATGAAAGGATTCCCCATAGGGTTTTTGTCTTCCCCACCACTTCCCATATTTTCCTCCCGGGTCAATCCAAACCCGGGCCAGTCAGGCTTCCAGAGGCGTCCTAGACGGGGACCGAGTATACATGGGGTCGGAGAATCGCGCCAGATCGCCGATGCATCGGCGGTGCACCGGCGACGCATCGTCGATGTCGGCGATGTCGGCGATGCGTCGGCGACGTCGGAATGGAGAAAAGCGGGCTCCACATCGAGCCGCATCGCCGATGAATCGGCGATGCTGCGCGATCCTCCGACCCAATCTACTCCGACCCCATCTAGGAGGCCTAGAGCTTTGCAGGATCCTTCAAAATGTTGCAGGATCCTGACCCCAAGACTGGGTTAATGCGCCCATGGCTCTGCAGGATCTTGTAAGGTCTGGCACTCTGGCGGACCCCGTTTGCATTGGCCCCCGTCTCTTGGAGCTCCGAACCCAGACATGCGACGTTCTGATTTGTTCAGTACGGGGTCCGTGGAAGCCCCGACCCTTTCCCTGGGACCAGTTTTTCGTCCTGAGTTGTTTTTTGACGGTCCCGAGGCCCGGCGAAGGCCCCCCAGGGCCGAAAACTGGCAAAAACCTCCCGTCCTGATTTTCGTTGAATTACGAGGCGATCATGTCTGGGAACCAAAAAATCGATGTCGATACCGCTCGACATCGATATCGGACCAGATCGGTGGCATCGGGCTGGGGCCATGCGGCTGGGGCCGTGCGGCCACCGCGGCACGGGCAAAGGCACCCCTCCCCGCCCCCCCCCCGCAGCCCGCCCCTCCGGCGAAGCAGGAGATCACGCAGACTGTGACGCCCCAGACGAGGTTCCTGGCACCCACGCCGACGAGACCGCGCAGTCCCCTTCTTCCCGTTACCACTCCTCCTCCTCCTCCTCCTCCTCCTCCTCCGCCTCCTCCTCCTCCTCCTCCGCTTCCGCCTCCTCCTCCTCCTCCTCCTCCTCCTCCTCCTCCTCCTCCTCCTCCGCCGCCGCCGCCGCCGCCGCCGCCGCCTCCTCCCCCCCCTCCTCCTTCTCCTCCTCCTCCGCCGCCGCCGCCTCCTCCTCGGCCCCTCGCCTCCTCCGCCTCCTCCTCCTCTCCGCCTCCTCCCCGCCTCCTCCTCCTCCTCCTCCTCCTCCCCTCCTCCTCCTCCTCCTCCTCCTCCTCCTCCTCCTCTGCCTCCTCCTCCTCCCCCTCCTCCCCCTCCTCCTCCGCCTCCTCCTCCGTAGCCATTTTGGCTCATGCCTGGAGCCAGGCCCCATAGCCGTTGGTTCGACGGGCGCGGGGCGCGTGCATGGGATGGCGCGGGATGGCGCGGAAGGCGCGCCAAGGCAATCGGCGGCCCAGCGCGCTGCTGGCAGGCAGTGGGCGAAGTGGTCGGCTGACAACGCTGTGAAGAGAATCTCGGACGAGCTGGGGCGGGTGCGAGCTCGCCAGGAGGCCGCCGAGAAGGCCCTGGACGCCATCATCGGAGATGGCGAGGTGGCCCAGAGGCTGCAGGCGCTGCTCCCAGCGCTGCATGGGGGGGGACCCCCTCCTGGCTCGAACGCCTGCGGCGCAACGTCGCCCTCCACGCCGACGCGCAGGGCGTGGACATTCGGGCGGCGGGAGCCGCGGAGCTGCGCCGTGCGGAGCGGGAACCCCAGCTCGAGCGGCGGGCGGCGGCCGGAGGCGGCTTGCGGGCGCAGGCGCCCGTGTTCGTTCCACTCGGCCTGCTCGGCGCGGACGGCCTGACCTTCGACGGCTCGGAGGTGCCGCCAGCCGACGGCGACAACGGCGGGCTGGTCGTGCAGATCGCGGAGGTTCCTGCGGCCGTGTGCGCTGCGGACCTGGAGGCCCTCCTCCGCGGCGCCCAGGAGCGGCTGGATTCGGCGGCGCTCGCGATCGCTGGATCAGGGGGCCGTGGATTGGACGACGGCTCCGAGGCGCAGCGCGCCGAGCTCGCGGCGGCCGCCGACCGCCTCGTCGAGCTCGAAGCGCAGCTCGCCGCGTTCGCCGCGGTGCAGGCGCCGACGGCTGTCGGGCGGTTTCCCGCCGAGCTCGGCCTCGCCGACGGCGACGGCGGCGACGTGCATGGCCGTGCAGGTGCAGCTGACCGCCGCCCTCCTGGCCCATGGGCGGACAGGGTCGTGGGCTGCGAGTTCGGCCCCGCGGGCGTGGGGCTGGAGGCCACCGACGGCGGGGCCGCAGCCTGGCGGT